TGACACGCTGTATTTCTAATATTGACATCGAAAAATGATTAAAACGCGTAGATTTATCACGGCGACATTAAGACAGAAAATGTTCTTGTCACTTCGTGGAATTGGATCTATTTATCCGATTTCGCCGGATATAAGCCCACCTATCTACCAGAGGTTCGTCATTTTTTGAGTGAATTTCTTTCTTTTTTTTTTCTTTTCACTTTCTAGATAACAATTTTTTTTTTTTGCGTGTAAATAAAGGACAATCCGGCGGATTTCTCTTTTTTCTTTGATACATCGTCTCGAAGAACCTGTTATCTTGCTCCAGAAAGATTTTATAAACCTGGCAGTGACATTGATAAAAGAAAGGTTTGGCGTCACTATGCCCGTATGATTGCTTATTCATTCTGACAGTATCAAACACTTTTTACTTGACATACTCATTATATGTTTTTATCTGGTTTGTGTTGTTGCCGTTGCGGAATGGGAAATTGATAGGGTGAGCTGGAGTTTGGGGAAAAAGATGGAGCCATAACTCCTGCTATGGATATATTTTCTCTTGGGTGTTGTATATTTATTTACATTGTTTTATACAATAACGATTAGTTTGCGCGATTTTAATTCGTTCATAATATTTATCGATATCGTATACTTATAATTTAGTTGTGTGATAGCCGAGGTATTTTTGGAGGGAGCGCCAATATTTTCACTTGCGCAGTTGTTCAAATATAGATCGGGGGAGTATAACCCAGACGTCTGCCTGAATAAAATTGAAGATCCAGATATAAGAGTACGAATAAGCCGATCTTTTTTGTTGGATGGTTTTATTGAGCATTAGTGAATAATCCTGTTTAAACGTGCATTTCAATTTTAAAGGCAATGGTGAAACACATGATCAATGTAGACCCATCATGTAGATACACGGCCGAACAATATTTACAAGAATGGTATCTATTAGGTCTCCTTAGATGAGTAATATTGAATTATTCGCGAAATTCATGATATTCACATTTTTTTTTTTTTTTTTTTCAGGCGTGGCACGGCATTTCCTCATTCTTTCTATACATTCCTTCATCAATATATCGGTTCGGTGACCGATCCACTCGTCCAATCTCGTCCCAGACGCTTCTCCCACAACACAACAAAATCTGATAATTCTCAGGATTCCAACGCTGCACACAATGCTATAGTAAATACCGATGCAGATGATAAGATTGAGAGAATTTACCATGAATTTGATAAAATTGCTTTCCTCTTGGGATTTTATGGAGAAAATACTGATGTTGAAAGCGAAGAAATTGTTGTCAATCACGGTCCCGGGGATAAAATTGGCGAAAGTTCCCGTTCTTTAGGAGGTACGCGATTCGTGTATCATTAGGGGATTTGAGGGTGTCGATGAAATTTGCTTTTAACTGACAAAAATCCCTTCCTGATCTCAAGTTTTCACACCAAATCCAACGGTACTTGGCTATCGATTTATAATGTGACCAGATGCTCTTCATGATTAACCTAATTTATTCTCATGCATAGTCAGCGTTAACAATTAATCTTCATATACCAAATTACGATCCTGAGTCTTTTGGTAATGTCAAGAGAAAGAAAAATTCCGGTAAG